GCTATCCTTCCTGTTAAGTCTCCTTGTTGCAACAAGGACTTTAGTGGGTGCTCTGTTAGGACCACAATCTTGTGCGCCTGAAAGTAATGGTTCAACTTCTTTGAAGCCATTACTAAGGCTAGCATTAACTTCTCTAGTGGTAGATACTTTGTTTCTGCATCGGTGAAGGTTTTACTTACATAATAAACAGCCTTTTGCTCCCATTTTTCCTCTCAGATTAGTACTGCACTGACTGTGTGTTTTGAAACTGCCAAGTACAAAAACAGTTCTTCCCCTGGTTCTGGATTGGAAAGAACCAGAGTTGTGGTCAAGTACTTCTTCAGGTCGGTCAAAGCGGCTTCGCATTCTTCTGTCCACAGGAAGTCTGTGGCTTTTTTCACCAGGTTGAAGAAGGGTCTGCACTTATCTGAGCTTCTGCTGATGAATCTGTTTAGGGCTGCGGCCCTTCCAGTAAGCATCTGAACCTATTTTGTCGACGTCGGGCTCTTCAGCTCTAGGATGGCCTTGATTTGGTCTGGGCTGGCCTCTATGCCCTTTCTTGTTACTAGATACCCTAAAAACTTACCTGATCCAATTCCAAACGCGTACTTTGATGCGTTGAGTCGAAGCCGGTATGTTTTGAGTATATCAAAGACCTCTTTTAGGTTGGCAAGATGACCCTTAGATTCCTTGGTCTTCACGACCATGTCATCGATGTAGACTTCTATCGTTTTGCCAATCAGGTGCTTGAACATCTTTGTTACTAACCTTTGGTAAGTTGCTCCTGTGTTTTTCAACCCAAAAGGCATTACCTTGTAACAGTACAGGCCTTTAGGGTTGATGAACGCGGTCTTCTCCTCGTCTGGAGGGTACATAGCAATCTGGTGGTACCCCCTGTATACATCCAGAAAACTCATCTTTTCATGCCCTGAAGTAGCATCTACTAGCTGGTCAATCTTGGGTAGAGGAAAGCTGTCTTTGGGGCAGGCTTTGTTGAGGCTGGTAAAGTCTACATAGACCCTCCATTTGCCGTTCTTCTTTTTCACCACTACTGTGTTGGACAGCCATGTCGGGTAGTGAACTTCTCGGATGGCCCTGGCCTCCAGAAGTCTGTCTACCTCTTCTTCTACTGCTTCGACGTGCATCAACGTCAGTCTTCTGGCTCGTTGAATCATAGGTTTTGCCGACCTGTCGACATTCAGTCTGTGGCAAGTGACCTCGGGGTCAATGCTAGGCATTTCGTAAGGTGTCTAGGCGAACACCTCAATGTTGGCTCTTAGAAAAGTTTTCAACTCTTTCTCCTCTTCTTCGGCTAAGCCTGAGCTGAGAAGAAAGAAGCGCTCTTTATCCCCATCCTGGACGAGGATTTTCTTTAGCGTCTCTTCGCTCTTCTCGGCTGGTTCTTTGCCGACGTCTTCTAGGACTTCCACGTCCTCATCTTCAATTTCTTCCTTCTTTGGCTCTCGTACGCAGCAGGTAGACTTCATTGTTGCCATAGAGCAACTTTTTGCCTATAGTTGATCTCCTCTGATTTCTTCAATCCCATGCTCTGTTGGGAACCGCAATAGTTGATGCAACGTTGAGGGAACTGCCCCCATTGCATGCAACCATGGCCTTCCCAAGATGATGTTATATGGCGAGGGTGTGTCAATCACCATAAATTCTGTCTTGATCTTCTTAGTACCAGCTTGTACTTCCACGCTTGCTGCGCCCAGTGGCCATGCCGGCGTTCCATTAAAGCCGACCATCGGGCTGTTGGATTGTTCCAGGTCGTCAAGATGAAGGCCCAGCTCCTTGTAACATCTGACATACATGATGTTGCAAGAGCTGCCTTGATCAATCAGGATGCGCTTCACTTGGCACTCCCCAACCTGGAGGGATACTACCAAGGCATTGTTGTGCGGATGCTGGACCATCTCTAGGTCAGCTTCAGTGAAGGCTATCATCGGTCCTCGGCACTCTTCAGGCCGAGGCCTTTTGTGTCCGACTTGGTTCACGTATTGCAGGTGTTTTACCCTCTGGGTCTCCCCTCGTATGTCGTTCTCGTTCACCTTTGAGTGGATTACATTAACCACCCGTGGTCCTTCTGCTTGCGGTTGTTGTACTGGGGGAGGCGGAGCTGCTAGTGCTTGAGGCAATCTTGCCTGTTCTTCCCTTGTCCTGGCTTCATCTACCAGGTCCCTCAGAAGGTCTTGTCTCACCAGGTCTTCTAAGTGTGCTTTTAAGGCTCTGCAACCGTGAGTTGGTTGTCCTTCTTCATTGTGGTAAGCACAGCGCCTACCAACGTTTCTTCCCATAAATTCCCTTGGTGCTCTTGCCGTTGCCCTAACATAGGGTTGGTTTCATATTTGATCCAGGACTTTATGGATAGGGATTCGGAACACCGTTGTCACTGCCTGTTTACCTCTCAATTCCGTTTCTTGTTTGGTCGGCCTGTTGTTACCTCGGCCTCGCTTCGACGAGACGTTTCCCTTCTCCTACTTCATCTCTTTGTTTCCCGACGTATCCTCCTCGGCTTTGGCGTACTTCTCGATTCTCGCCATGAGTTCTTCCATGCTTTTTGGCAATGTTTTTGCCAAAGACTTCCGTAGTGGGCAGTCATCTTTCAGGCCGTTCTTGAAAGACACGACCGCCACCTCTTGGTTGCATTCGGGTATTCGATTGAACACCTCGTAGTACCTCTTTGTGTAGGCCCTCAAGCCTTCATCCTTGGTGATTCTTAAAGCCATCAGAGCGTCGACCCTCAAGGGCTGTAGTTTGTTCGTCACAACCTGGCCACAAACATCTCGGCCAGGCCTTCCCAATTCTTCACGCTTCCCTTTGGCAGTTTGTGGAACTAATCTGACGCAATCTCCCCAAAGGACGAGGGGAACACTTTGTAGAGCAACGGCTCGTTTCCACTATATAATGCCATTGAGTTCAAGAATAATCCAACGTGGAAGTTAGGGTCTGACTTACCATCGTATATTTGAAACCTCGGCATACTGAATCTCTTTGGCGCCTCAAATTTGTCCAGTTCTACCGAGAATGGTGTCTTCGGCTTGTCGGGTGAGGTAACCTCGGCTTCTCCGTTCTGTTGCTTCCTCTTGAGGTAGTTTCTCAAGTCTTCTTTGCTCCGTCCAGGAGCTCGGCTATCTACTGACTTTAGTTTCTTCGGCATACTGCTCTCGGCCTCATGGTGGGCCTTTTTCGATCTCTCCCCATGAGTTGTGTTGAAGCATAATGCCTGCCTTTGTACATGCCGATGTTCTTTGGGCCCTGGATCCTTCGTGTGATGCGTCTTTTGGGACTCTTCTTGCCTCGGCTCCTCTCGTCCGACTTCCCTGGAAGGTCGGTGAGAGTGCCTTCCGCTCTTGGTGTGCTGAGGGGCTTCGGGGATTGTTTTCCTTCCTCCCTTCTGGGTATTAATTGCTGGCATCGGCGTATCTTGCAGCGGGTAAGGTGGCTGCATAACATTGTTCTGCATCATGAAGTTGACGACCGACTATAGGTCTGCCAGCTTGTTTGCCAACTCTTTTACTTCCTCATCCCTCCGTAGGCACCTGTCCCTCCATATCTGGAGGTTATCTTCATTGTAGTACTTGCCTTGGTCTGTCTTCTTCGAAGTGTCACCCTCATGGCCGACGTCTTTCTCTCTGTGATCCGGGTCACGGGTTTCTGCATTGTGGTTGTCTCTTTCAATGTCGAGGTCAATTGATCTGCCATTCCCAGCAGGAGTGTCGTCCCCAATCTTTTCCTTCTGTCCGTTATTGGCCATCTATCATTCTTTTCTTTCCCACAGACGGTGCCAAATTATGTGGGTGATTTTCCGACCACACTGCCTGCTTAGTAATCAACTGGAGAGCACCGACAGAATAGATGGTTTCAGCTAACCTGTAACAGAAAGAAAAGGCTCCGGCGGTGCTTTTTCCACTCGGGGGCACTCCGACGATCAAGTCAGTATATCTCTCAAAGATAATCAAGTGCTAAACTTATTGCTCAAAACATAAATTGCGTACCTTAGACCCACGTGGGTGCCTCTCTTTTATAGTTAACTCAATCCAAGTCCCACTAAAAGCATGACTTCTATGGACTCCAATTCTGTGCTTACTTGGATTCCTCAAAAGATAAAGATAAACTCCCTAAGAGTTTTATCCTTATCCTGGCCAAGTCCCCTCTTTGTCCTAGGATTTTTGTCCTTTATCCGTTTATCTCGGATTCCGACATCTTCGGAGATAACCTCGGCCTTGATGAGATAACCTCGGCATGACTACCAAGACACGCAGCACGTCGGCTGACACGTCGGCGTCACCTTACCATGTGTTGGTACTCTAAAAATATATCTCCACAAAAAACATTATTATGACATCAAAATATACTAGAATTTTGTATAAATTTGTTGTTATTAGAAAATGATACAACACAACAGTCCCACGAAAAAAACAAATTCGATTAACAGTCTCAAAAGTTGGGACCCAATCTACTAACTTTCTAGTTCAAAAAATAAAAATAAAAATAAAAAAAAAAAATTCCTATTAACTCTCATTTGAGTATTATATAATTTAAATACATAACAAAAATAACATTTAACTTGCATATCCATAACAAAAATACAAATCCCTGTGGAGAAAAAAAAAACGTAAAAGCCACGCGCGCACAAAAAAAAAAATAAAAAAAATTGTCGTTTGGGGATAGTGGCAGCCACAGCTGTGAGCGATTGTATTTAAAATTAAGGTAAATTACATTGACACATTTTGAGATTTATATTTATTATAATTTTTTTTTTATTTTTTAAAAATTATATTCTTTTTTTGAGGTTTAAAGTTTCATTACAAAAGGACTAAAGAGATATTAATAATAATTAAGAGATTGTATGTATAAAGGAAAAAAATACTATCAACTCCACCTTAAGTATTTTGAATTTATCCTAAATGAGTATTGTGTGATTGAAATTAAATTTGTATAGTGTGGGGTCTACATATAGAGTAAATGTGAACTACAAGATGATAATTTTGAATGATTTTTAGATAGTCAAGTCTAAATTTATAATATTACTGATTGAAAGAGGATATTTCTATAATTAATATTATACCATTTAGATCATTATATGTTATTCTACAACCGATTAGAGTGCTGTTTCTCTATACATATAAGGACATCCAGTCAATAATTTTATTCACTCACTTAGTAAGTGAACAAAATTAAACTCGCGACACGCTTCATGGAATTGAGGTTGATGAGATATCGGTAGCTGGGACTTTTTGAAAACCACCAGGAAGTATCTTTAAAACTGCAGGTTGCTCTGCAAATAACATATTATAATAATATTACAGTCATTTCAAAAATAAATAAATAAAACTACAATTTTAAGAAAAGCTTACTTAGAAGAGCAGTTATCTGATCAGCTGTGAGCTTGGCTGCAAAACCATTCATGGTTCTTGTGTAATCATAAATTATGGCTTTCTTGGCTGCCATTTCACTGCACAACACCATCACCACCCCAATATTTCACAAAGGGAGATTTAGTCAAAATCTCCTCGTAATAAAATTTTAGTGCATAAAGAATAAGTACAAAAAATTTCCTTGAAAAGTTTAACAAATATCATTATTATCAAAATGTTAAATTTTAAAATAATATAACTTTTGATGTATATGTTAGTTTTTAATAAAATTAATATTTTTATAATTCTCTCACCAAGATTTATCAAATAAGATCCATATTGACTATGAAATTCTCTTTTTTTAAAACAAATTATTACCGTTGAAATTGATGTAAACAGTAATAGTAACATGTTACTCTGTTTGACAATTACTCTATTTGACAATAACATGTTATTCTGGTTTACAGTAACATATTACTCTTGCAATATTGTCCAAGAAAGAAAGAAATATATATATATATATATATATTACTTTATCCTTATTCAATTATGTGTTTTTTCTCAGGGAGCTTATGGAGAAAAATAAATTGGTCTGTATTTTTCACCAAATAAGGGTCCAATGGAGGGATTTTGACTAAATTTCCCTATTTGTATATAATTCTTTCAAGGGCTTAAATCAAAACAATCTTTAAAAATTATATTTATTTTACCATTGAATTTCGTTAGTATTCTAAATTTAAATAATAAATGAAAGTATTTAAATAATTTAATATCCATTCAATATGAAAATTAAAAAAAAAAAATAGTTCATATTTATTGGATTAAGTGGGTGGAGTTGAGATTTAAATTTTTTTTAGGGCCGGACTTAGAATGACTAGATTAGGTTCGATATTAGGCCAGGCTTCGAATACCATATATTCTCTTACTATACAATGTAAGCCCCATCTGACCTAAGATTTGTCCACCCTAGCATTAAGGCCCTAGTGAGAACAACCCTGAACAAAATAGCTCTATTTCAACTATTGCTAGAGGATCCATCTATTTTGTTTGGAAAAAAGAAAATTTTCTTACAAATTGTTTATAAGAAAACTTACGTGTTGGTCCTAATAGGTAGATTGATTGTCCAATAAGTCCTGTAATAATTAACAACATTTTTTTATTAAACGCTATCAAAAAGTATTACTAATTGTTAATTTTCAGCGACAGTTTGACAATTTTGTCACAAAAACGTTACCAATTATAAGTATTAGTGATAGTTTAAAAAAATCATCACAAAAAAGTTACTAATTTTCAACTTTTAACGACAATTTGAAAAATTCGTCACATAAAAGTATCACTAATTATAAGTTTTAGCAACAATTTATAATAATCGTGACAAAAAAATAGTAGCTGTCAATTTTTAGTGACATATGCAAAAAGGCATCACAAAGAATTATTTTTAGCGAGATTTTACTAGGACTGATTTTCAATAGGACTTAATGAAAATTAAGTCTAATTATTAAGACTTATTGGTAGTCTACCTTTTTTTATACAGGATTTGTGAATTTTCTTTTCCAAGTTAAAGCACCCATATTGTTCTAAAAAAAAAAAGAAGTTAAAACACCCATTATAAAAATTTATAATTATAAAAAATACCACTACCATATCATTTTGTAGTAAATTGCATCCATTTTGAATTGAAAATGTTATTAGTTATTCGAATTTAATGGATAAATTGAACGATTTCAATTTCAAGTTTATCCGTCAAAGAAATGAAAGATTGCTTATTTCTTTCTTAGGTAAGTGAAAAAATGAACTACCTTGTAAAACAATGTTGCTGACACTAAAAAATAATTTTTTGTTGATAATGGGTAAGTCTCGTTTAATTGATTGTGACTTATCGATTATAGCCAATCTAATCTCATCAATTGTGACATGTAGATTTTGGTTTGTCGATTCAGATCATAAATTATTATTTTTTAAGTAATTATGGCCATATTTTATTATCTTTAGCATTATCTATTTTTAATATTAGTATTATTATTATTGTTACTTTTGTTTAGTACAGGATGTAATCAATTAGTTGATCATAACATGAAGGGTAAATCACACTTGACACCCCTACAATTTGCACCAAATCTCACTTTGGCCCCTACACATAAAATCACGATAGTCAACCCTCTGCACTTCTGCTCAAATCCTACTTTGGGCTCTGCACATGAAATTGTGACAGTCAACCTCCTGTACTTTTGATAAAATCTCACTTTGGTCCCTATACAAGTATCAATGTCCCCCTTCTGTTACTCAATTGTTTAAATCTTTTACAGAATCTAGTCATGTGATAAGAATCTCACTACGACATTAGGTAAGAAAGGAAAATCATCTACATTTTTCACCAATATACACTTTATCCCAAAAATTTCATCAAAATATGACTGTATTAGACTAAAAAAAAACACAGATTGTGAACAATTAAGAAGATGAACTAGGATTTTACATAAATTGGAATCACGAAACTCTATTTTTTACGATAACACAATTTTTTGTCTATTCATTTTTCCTTTTATTTGATTTCTTTGTCGCATATATATATATATATATTGTATTATATAACTCTCATGTGCTTATCACGTAGGACAAAGTGTATTAGTGGGAAATATGGATAATTTTCCTGTTTTACCCTCATTTCGTAGTCACATTTTTTGTCACATGATTGGATTTTGTTAAAGATTTAAAAATGAAATAACAAAAGAGAGACATTGACATTTGTATAAAGACCAAAGTAGGATTTCACCAGAAGTGCAAGGAGTTAATTGTCATGATTTCATGTGTGTGACAACCCTCACCTCTAATTAGTGCTAATCTGTGATTAAGCATGATAAGTGATTGATTCGACTGAAATTCTGAATTGATTGCATGAGTATATTGTTTTAAACACATTTCTATCTGTTTGATTACTTAATTGATCTGTTCATGTTTTAATTTCGAATAACGAATTGGAGGCCTTATCGGCGGCCGATTCAGAAATTGATTGGTATTTTATGCTAGTTAGAATTTATGTGATTTCATGGTAGGTTTAATTTAAAATTGATTTGGAACGATTAAATTAGATTAAATAATGTTAAATCGCATTAGTTTGCACTTTTTACCAAATTGCCATCGAGTGGCCATTTCCTACAAACTTTGTTTGGCACCTTCATACATCATTTTTCAGCCACTTCCTTAGGCCAAACCGTGAGAGAAAGGGAGAGTAGAGGAAAATTGGTTTCATCAAGAGTTTTGCTTGGAAACTTAGAAGTTTTGAAGAGAGATTTCATAATTGGGCTTCTGTATCTTAAATTGAAAACCTAAGGTAGGATATTTACCTTCTTGTTTATGAATTCAAGTCATTTCTTGCATGCTTCATGGAGGAATAGGAGCTTAAGGTCAAGAATTAAATTAAAGTGTTGAATGAAGAGTGATTTCATGCATGCATGTATATATTCTTGCATTTTGAGGTTGTTAGCATGAATTTCTTCCATGCATGTGTATATTTTGAATGTAGTCCATGAATTCACCATGTTCTTAAGCTTAATCTTGCATTTAGCCAAGTTTTAGAGCACTTGATCCATAAGAGTTCTTGCATGTTATGTTTTTATATAGTTCATGAGAGTTTCTTTGGAATTGTGTTCAATTGACTCACCCTTGGGCTTTGATTTTACAAATTGATCTTCAAAACATGTTATATTGTTGGTTTTCAAGTGTTTTCCAGAAAATGGGCCCAAGAGGTTGAGTTTTGAGGTGTTGAATGCTTGGTTTGAGCTTTGAAGGCAAATCTCGAAATTTCAAAATTTGGCTTCCTCGCTCGAGCGAAGGATTCCACGCTCGAGCGACCATCGTTTGTTCAAAGCCCCGCTCGAGCGAAGGAATGATGGCTTGAGCATAAATTGCAAGCTCTCAGGTTTTTGGTGCATGCAGACGCACGCTCGAGCGACGAGACCTACGCTCGAGCGAAGGATGTGTCTCACGCTCGAGCGCGCATCGAGCGAGCGTCGAGCAGAGATTTTCAACATCCAGCACTTTTTTCATTTTTACAGACCACTCGAGCAAGGAAGTCCACGCTCGAGCGACCACACTTGTTTTGACAAGCTCGCTCGAGCGAAGAAAGCCACGCTCGAGCGAGACCCCTGTTTTCTGAAAATTTTGAAAAGTGTTTTAAAATACATCTTTGCATTCTCATTTCATCCTAGGCATTCCTAGGCCTAGTTTAAGGCATCTTAATGAGGAAATTGATGTAAGACCACACCAAGTCAAGTTAAGGGGCTAGTTTGTCTATCCCAAGTGTGTAACTTAATGTGTGTTTGTTCTGTAACTATGTAGGGTTGGCATCCGAGGACGCTCATTAGCTGCTTATAGCTCAGTGCTCTGTGAGTAACAATGTTGTAAAGATATGTTCAATTATGAATATTTTCTGAAATATCAACTGTTCTGTTTACTGAAACGTTATTGTTTAATGAATGAATGTTTGTCCTATATGTAAACTGTATCCGTGGCATCCATAGCAATTTACTGTTATTGTACTGTTACTGCTATTGTTACAGAGATCTCTGTCGGTTCCCATGTTTGGAACCATTACTGTTTACTGTTCTGATGACCATTGTAGACACCCCATTTTTGACCGTCCTCAAGACTTGGACGTCATCGTTTGAGCACTCGGTGATCATCCATGTTTGTGTTCGTTTGGAGTTCCCGGAGGTCTCGGCTACGCGCCTTGCCTCGGGATCTCCGAACTCGACCGTTTAGTGTCTGGTTATGCACCAAACACTTGTGTTTTGCCTTTGAGAGGAAGGGTAGGGCTTGTGGACCATCCCCACTCACCACCGGTAGTGGCTAGAGGCCACCGGCTGTGGCTAGAGGCCACCGGCTATTTTTTTTGCTGCCACCGGCAATGTATATTGCCGGCCGGCACATTTTGTTGCTGGTCGGCACTTTTTAGTGCCGGTCGGCACTTTTTTTGGCCAAGATGGCATTTTTGGCCGGCCGACTACTGTGCATCTGCTTTTGCAGATATTTTAAGACAGCTGTCTTGCTTTTGCTCCCCTCCATACACGTGTATGGAGGGATCTCCCTCTTATGAAGCTTGTCTTGTAAGCTTTACAAGACAAAAAAGCTTCTATATAGAGA